TATATTTTAAAATTTTATTTATATTTGTCCTTTGGTACTGTGAGTCTTTGGATCATCTTTCTTACCCCTCCTCACAACTTCAGGTCTCAGTTGTGTATGAGTCAACCGTGATAAAAAGCTGTATTGTAGAAGCTCATGCAGCTGTGAATAGTATCTGGTGAAGCTGGGGGAGGGAGGCGACACAGTTGGGATAGTTGATCTACAGAGCTTGAATGCGGAGGGACAGGGGAACTCATCCTTCACAAACTGGAAGGAAGCATTATAAGGAGTAAGTGTACAACTTTTCCATCCTAGGTATAGGGAGAGATGTTTATACTTTTTGTTCCTTGAGCATATTTCTGCTGCCAGGCAGAGGGGAAGAATCCTTTTTAGCCCTGGTGCTTTATCAGGTTGTTGTTTGAGATACGTTTTTCCTGGGATCTGGCTGCCATTGGTGAAATCCCTTTCTATAGACTATAGTCTCCCAGATGGTGGGATGGTGCTTTGCTTCTTGGGACCCAGCTGCTAGGAAAACTGTATGTTAAACCTGCATCTTGAAAGCTTCTAGGGGTTGAACATGTCTTCAGGCTTTTCCCCTGGTATTTTCTCCTGACCCTGTTGGAATTTTGTGTAACTCTGCTTGCCTTGTTGTCCTGATAGACTTTACAGGTCCCGCTTGCCGTGTTAAAAAGTGATGCATAGAAATGACTGCTCCCTGATGCTTCTGAACAAGTCCAGTGTGCCAGGGAGCTTTTTGGACCCCTCCTCTTTTGTCTTTGGAGCCTTGCCTGCCTTGCTGTACCCTGCCAGTTAAATGAGTGGGATGCCCCTCTACTTTTCTGAAACTTCAGCTTTCACAGAAGCAGAGAGAATCTGCTCTGGAAACGGGACTGACAATGTGAACGTCTCTCTTGAGTTTTGATTTGTTCCCTTGCTTACAGGGACGATGACTGCTTTTGCATGTTTTTCTGTACAGGTGAGCTGCGGAAACTACTTGCCTCTTTTGTGGCTGGTAGTGGAGCAAAAAATGGTGGCTTTATAAGGAAAATCACTCCCACAGCTGCAGAGTCCTTGGCGCCCAAGGTTTCTGTCACACAGCGGAAACTGCAGGTAATGGAATTAGGGAGTCACAAGGGGAAGCAGGGCAGGAGAAATTGCTTGTGTGAGGGTAGGGTACACAGTGGTATCCTAATGCCAGGGAAAGAAAAGAATGGACCTAGGCAGCAGGGAATGTTGTGTTATACAGTCAGGTATCCTTGCTCATCCGTGTGGCTGGGGTACCATGTGGGTGTTGAAATCCAAGTAACTTCAGCAAACATTCTTGGAACAGCTAGCCTATTTCTCAGTCTGCTTGTTCTTTAACATAAAATGTTGGTTTCTTACACTCTGTTTTGATTAGATAGTACCCATGCTTCCCACCAGAATGAACTGTGTAGGAACCTACAGGATTACTGTAGAGAGGATCCTTTCTTCCCAAAAACAAACCCTATGTGGTGACTCACTACTAGTCGGTGCTCTCAGAACTCTCCCTTCTTCTCTTTCCTGGGTATTTGCTTTTGTAGCTTCATAAACTCTGATATAATGAGTTTTGGGTTAAATGGTTAGAAGGAAACAGGGAGCAAATATTTTACAGGGGTGCTGAATGCTACAGAGCGGAAAGTTCTAGTGTAGGCAAATTGTCTGCCTTTTAGCACTATTCCGGATGGTCGTTCTGTCTGTTCCTGTGTTGAGGAGAGGAGGATCTGGGTGGAGTGCTCTAATCAATTGTAGCACTTTTCTCTTGAACAGGTAGAGTTGGAACAGGCCTTCTTCCACAACCAGCCTCCCTCCCTACGGAGAACAGTTGAATTTGTGGCAGAGAGGGTGGGATCCAACTGTGTTAAGCACATCAAGTAAGTGCTGGTGGTCTGTGACTTAAGAAGTAACTTTACACTAATGAGGCAAAGAGTTGATCCTTTAAAATTGTGTGTATGGGGGAAAGAAAGCTTCCCTCAGAATATGCTGTATAGCCGGACAGCAGGGCTATATAAGGCTATGACAGTGGGGTCCAGCAACATCTGATTGCCATTGCAGAGGGGAATTTATGAAGGGATGCAGAGAGGAGGGTTATATGACTGTGGGACACTTGGAATGTGAACATAGTGCAGCATTTTGAGACTTTATATCCCTTTCAGAATGTTCTTGCTAATAATAGGAAAATCTCAGGTCAGAAGGAACCTCTGGAAGTCATCTGATCCAAACTCCTGCTCAAAGTAGGGACAGCTTTCAAGTTAGATCAGGTTGCTTGGCACATTTTCCAGATGAGTTGTGAAAGTCTCTAAGGATGGGGATTCAGCAGCTTCTTAGTACCATGTTCCAATGCTTAATTTTCCCAGGCTTTGTGAAACATGTTTCCTTATATCCTATCAGAATTTCCTTTGTTCCAGCTTGTGGATGTTGCCTGTCAACCTTTAGCTGTGCACTTCCTGGAAGAGTCTTGTTATAATCCTGGTTATAACCCTTCCTTCTCCCTTCACCCTCTCCTCTTCACCAGGCTAAGTGAATCCGGCTCCTCTGGTCTCCTTGTAGATTGTGTGCTTCAGCATCCCTGCTATCGTAATGATTATTTTTTATCTCCTGCAGTCAGTCAAATTGTCAATGGCTTGCTTATACTGGGGTCCCAAAGCTGGACACAGTACTCCAGATGCAGCCTCACAGTGGCGAGGGAAGCAGTAATTTCCCTTGACTTGCTGGCTGCGCTGTTGCTAATGTCAGCCCAGTATAAGGTTGGTCCTCTTTGAACACTGTTAACTCATTTAGCTCATCTACTGGGAACCCCAGATCCTTTTCTGCAGAGCTGCTCCCTAACCAGTAGACCCCAGCCTGTACAGGTGCACAGTCACCTTCTCATCGTCAGCCCATTTCTCCACCATGTCACAGCCCTTCTGAATGGCAGCCCTGCCCTCCAGCACGTCACTCATGAGCTTGCTGAGAGTTTGTGCTGTCCTGTTGTCCAGCTGGTTGAAGACATTAAACAGTATCGGCCCACGAGGAATGCTGGTTGTAGTGGGCTGCTGTTGACATCTCTGAACTTCCAGCCACCATCCATTGAGAGTATAAGCGTATTGCTGACAGAAAAGATCCCTGTGACCATATATGTTTCTATGAAAACCTAAAGGCTTTTGACTTTTGAGTCTTACTGCTGTTTTGATATCTTCATTGCTGCTTTCTTCCTTACAAAAAGAGCAAGGAGATGGTACAGTACTAAACGCAGTGGGATGAATTCTTTTTTAGCAGAGCAGTTTATTGCATTTGAGGTGGGGGGTATCCTAAATTGGGGAGAACAGCTGGTTACAGTTAGCGTGCACTGTTGTATTGATTTCAGTCTGTCTGGTTGTTCTTGGTTTTTTTACAGGGCAACACTGGTAGCAGAGTTGGTTCAAAGGGCTGAAGTCATGTTGCAGGATAAAGTGAAGGAGGAGCATGCGAATCATGACAAGCTGCTTGAAGAGGTGTGCACTCATCTGTATGAGGAAGGGGCCCAGGCACTCATCAAAGGCAGAGAGTAAGGAGGAAAAGTTATTTAAACTTGTGCCTTCCCTTCTCTTCTTGTCGTGGAATCTATAAGCCTAATTCAGCTTGGCCTGTCATGCTTAGGTTCTGGTAATGATAAACCCTGGCCTCTGCTCTTCTTAGGGTGACTACTGTGCCTCCAGCCAGTTAACACCGTATTTGTAGGAAGGAATAAAGATGCTGTGTGTCTCTGCGTCCAGCTCCAAACAGACATCCACTGCAGCTATTGTATTTCCCCTCTTTGGAAAACTGAGTATTGCAGCTTGGTGGCTTGTAATTGCTCCTTCCTTGTCTGGTTCTTTTGGTCTCACTTATTTCACTGCAGTCTTCCAACTGGCTTTGACTGCAAGAGAGCGTGTGAAAGTTGCTACGGTAATGAACCTCTGAGTGTTGTCCAAGAACTTTGGCTAGTCCTGTGGCACGTTTTCTTTCTTTTCTTGCAGATTTTGCAAAAAGAAAGGTCCTGAGGCGGTAAGGGTGTTATTGCCAGAAGAGACATCTGCAGCAGTATGTATTTTCACTGAAACTTAGTAAAGGCCTTGACGTTAAGTCTGGACTGTTACCATTTTTCCATTGCTGCTTCACTTATTCCTTAATAGCTTAGGACAGTGCAATCTATTGATGCCCTCGTGTGGGGACTAGTAGCTAAGGAGAATCACCTCTGCCAGGCTGCTTTGGGTATTCTGGCTAAAGTGGTACTCGAACCAATAGCTAACGGTTGAGACTAGAATGGTGTATAAATTGCATTCATCTTGCAAGGATAATGCTTTTGTTTTAGCATCAACTTCCCCAAGAGCTGATTTGGTTTGTATGGGGTTGGGGAGGTTGGGGAAGTCAAAATGGGTTGGTCCTATTGTGCTCAGAGTAGCAGTTCCCGTAGAGGTGGTGGTGCTCTGTTGAAATGTTGCATGGCAAAATTAAGCTTTTTCCCTCTAGACTTCCTTCTGACTTCTTGCTGACTGTAGTGCTGTGGCTGGTAGTGAATCTTCTATCCCTTGTTATCCTCCCTGTAAAGGTTTTAAGTAGTGCAGAAGACATTGCAGTGGAACTGGCTACTGAGAAAGCCTGTGGCTGGCTTTCTGCCAACATTGCAGGTGAGTCTCCTTACCCTGAACTGAGGCTTCTAATCTGTGCATTGTACTGGTTTTCTGAGATCAAGGGGTAGAATTTATTCCAGTGTTATAAAGTACTTGGTCCTACTCATTTTTATTTTAGTGGGAAGCATGCTGTTACTCTGTCCCTCCTTGTTTAAGCATAAGAGGAATGATTTCTAGCTCCCAGAACCACCTTCAGGGATTTTTCAGATTTGGCCCATGTGAGTGATTTTTAGTTTTGGAGACTCGTCGGATGGTGAGAAGGAATGCTGTGGAAAGCTGCTTCTGAAAATGTCATCTAGGCTGAAGCTGTCTTAGCACTTCAAACATATGATACAGACAGCTGCTCTCTCAAGCTGCCTTATGTACAGAGTGCTTCTGAAATCTTCTGTAAAACAAACACCTCTTGGACTGAGTGTGTTTTCAGCAGGCTGGAGGCAATGTAGTCGTTTTACTCTGTAATAGTACTCTGGCAACTCTTCAGATTCGCTGAAAACCCATTGTTTCAGGAGGTTGTGCCAAGAATCTGGGAAGGAATATCCAGCACCATTTGCAGCAGCAGGAGTTTAGCGTTTTGGATGCTGGTCAAAACTTATTTTGGTAGAAAGCATATGGCTTTCATGGGCACAGTGGTTGAACTGGTATGATCATGCTGATTCAGCTTTCTACTTTGGCATTGCTTCCTGGCTTTGCTACTGTGTTCATTAAAGCTGCTGAAATATTTTAATGAAAAATTAGATGAATTGCCAGTGGTACCTGGTGGTAATGGGTGGCTGCCTTTTAGAGCTGTGGGTTAACACGCTCTCTCCGCCTGTGCCTCTGCCAATTAAATATAATGAGAGCTCAGAGCAAGAGGGGTTTAAAAGTGTAAACTCCTCTCCTCATTTGCCATGGCCCCCGGAATAAGAGGCTAATAAGGGTAGTGTTTGGAAACAGTTGTCTGCCTCGCTGGAGAGGGAAAAGTTGAAGTAGACAGGATTTGTTCCCTGTTCTTCATAGCACTCATCAAAAGAGAAGTGAAGGCAACCTTCAACAGAATGCTAAAAGTCCCAGGACTTCCCTTGCCCGGTGAGGATGCTCTGGAGTTGAGAAGGGGCTGCCCTCCAGGCTGTCAGCACTGTGCTCCATTTCCCTCCCAAATCATCAACGAGATGAAGGTACAGAGAGTTCACTTCCGGGCTTGCCCTAATTCTCTTTTTATTTTTCACATTGGTGTGCTTTGTTTGGCGTTTTTTTTGGTTGGGTTTTTTTTGAAGGGGATGTTCTGGTTCTAATGAACTGGCTGAGAGGAGTGTTTAGGAAGCACAATGGAAAGGTCTCACGGGTTTTTCATCCCCCTGCGTGCTGTCTGTGCGTAGATCAGAGTTCCCTGGGCAGGAGTAACCTCAAACACGGGATTTCTGGTCGCATGGCAGTGTCCTTTTTGATAGGAGTAGCATAGAAGCCGGAGTGCGGTGAGCATTGTGTACTGCTGTGTGCTGAAGAGTCAGCATATCAAAATAGCTACTTTTTGGTAGACCTGCTCTTTTTATGGAGAGTCTTCTGGCCTTCGTTTAGACTAGGTATTTCCTGTTGGTCCTTGAGTTCTGTAGAACTTGGTAGACTGTCCCATCTTACACACCAGGAATTCTGCATTGAATTAAGTGTTAGGTGAATCTGTACGAATCTGTTGAAAGATTTTTTTTTTTTTTTTTTTTTTGCCAGCCTGTATCTGCACCTTCATTCAACTATAGTTAGGGACAGTCAGAACATCTTAAAAAGAAGGTGATGTATGGACTTAATTTCAGCCTTAGATCCAAGTAATTTTCTATTCAAGCTGGTTCAAATTATATTTTGGTCTTTTCTCCCAGGCTTTTAAAAGGTCACTGTTGTAAAAAATCATGCAATTATTTAACCTGTGTGAGTTACCCATGAGGAAAAGAATAATTCTAAAAACCTCACTTCTTTACCATTATGTGTTCTGCCTATTATTTTTTTTTTGCTGTTTCTTGTCTGTTTGAGCAATAATACTGGATCTCACTGTCATCACATTCCCAGCAATTGTGTAAGAATGAGTACACAACCTTTAACGCTTTCTTGCTTGAGCTAAAATAAAAAGAGCAGGGTGAGGTATGTGAGGAAATCAGGGTCTTTTTCTGTAAACTGTTGCTTTTTGAAGATACTTTTGTATGGCATCTTGAGATACAGCTTTTAAATTATTTATTTATTTATTATTCCTTTTGATTTCCATCCTGGGTTTCTGATACTGGGTGGTAAATTGCTGGTGATGGAAAGTGCTACCACATGTAAAATTGGCTAAACCAGTTTTCATATGATAACCATATTAGGACTCTTCATACTCAGCTTTGTGTTGACACTGAAGCTACCTTGACAGTATAAGAGGACTCTGGATTTCTGTAGCACTTCTACCCTGAACTTGCTTGCTGTGCCATCAGATTTATCTAGAGCTTTCAGAGCTAGTTACTTTTAAGAAGGATGAACTGGTTGCTCTCATTGACTTGGACTTCAGAACATTAGTGGGAACTGTGGTAGAAAATCAGACGTAGGTAAGGCTGTGAAAAACTCAGCTTTAATCTGTCTTACAAAATGAGGAGGATACTAGCTTAATTTTTTTTTTTTTTTAATGAGGACCTGATGACTATATATGAACTGCTGTGTCATAGGTCCAAAGCTCTGTTTGCAGAAGTGCAGGATACTAATAGGTGAATTACTGCTGTCTTTTTCATCAAGGATGTGCTCTGTGTCGCTGTGGGCCCACGGGATGAGGGTGAAGTGGTTGACTACGTCTGGCTGGAGTGCTTGCTGGGGAGATTGAGTCAGACACTTCGATGCAGAAAGGTAGAAGTAAAACAGCAACAAAAAAACACCCCTTGGAGCACTTTGAGCTGTCTTCATACCTGTAAACTTGTTAGCTTGCCTTGCCTCACGGTTGAGTTCAGTCAAATGTTTTTTGTCTCAAATGTGACAAAGTTGCACTGCATTTTTTATATACTGTGTAGATCTGCTTGTTACTTAAAATTCGCCTTTGTGCATCCCCTTTTCATATACGATCTTTTCTTGTCTTTCAGTCTTTAATGGTCTCCTGATTACAGCTCTGTGCTTCTTGCTGTAAATTGCCTGCTTTTCTCTGATGTTTTTATCCCTTGTGAAGCCCTCTTTTGTCCAGTCTGCTGTATGGGGACAAAGATACAACATCTTTTTTGTGTTTTCCAGTTCATGTGTCCCACATCAGAACAGCAGCTGGCAAAGTGCACGGTTGAGTTGGCTTCTTTGTTGGGTAAGTCAGTCATGATAAGCTATTTAAGACTGAAATCTGTTATTACAGTTCCCTTAAATCCTTGGGGTCAGTGATTTCAGTATTTAGAGCTCATGGGTGTTTGATTCTCTTTGGTGTCACTGAGTCTGCAGATTTTTTTTTCTGTCCATTTGGGTGGTTGCTCTTATTCCCTTCCACCTTTTGCAAAACAGCATTATACTGTGCCTAACCATCCTTCAGATCTGGTGTTATCATTCACATCTCCGTTGTTTTTTATTTATTGATACCTCATTTAATTATGTGATAATGTTTTCCAGTATTTCTGTCTCTGAAAAGTTGCACCTGAGGGTTATTTTTTCCCTAAAAGTAAGGGCCTATTCCCTTAAATTCTCTCCAAAAAGAGCCATAGAAATGTAATTTAAGTAACTTGTTTTCTGTGTGTTGCGACTTCTTCTGTGAGTGTTCTCAGTGTTTGTTTGTTTGGTTTTTTTTCTTCTTTTACTCTAATGTGTTAAATACAAAGTTTTTCTCAGCAGGAGCTAGTGATCTGGATGCAGGTGTTTTCTCCCTGAGCAACCTTCTAATTTCCTGGTTTTAGAACCTTCTTAAGAAGTTTTATACATGGTTCATTCTTTCAGAAAGCAGTTCACGTGTGAATATTGTGAAACTCCATTCTGGGGGGCAGCAATGTAAATCTGCCCCGTTCCATTAGACTGTACCAAGGAAGATCTGGTATCTTCCCTCTCTGTATGTTTAGCTGCAGTTAAACACTGTTCAGCTTTACTTTGACTCGTATGAAGTTATGTGACTCTGCCTGTAGTCAAAACTATGAACAACTGTTTAATTTATGTATAGATTTAAATGTTGTCTTCCTGTGTTACTTTCCTCTCCTTTGGTGTTTATCTGAGTAGTACAAATCTCTTCCTAGTAATACTTGTTTATGTAGTTCCAAAGCTCATAATTTTGCACCTTTCTAAACTCCAGTCCTCTTAGGCTTGCTGGTTTACACTCACTAAGTGAGTTTACACTCACTACTTCACTGACTGTTTAGATACCAGCTATGCAAAATGTGCTGTTGGACCAAGATGATGACTATAAAAGGAAAACAATGCAGCTACAGAAGTTTGCTTTTCTTCCTTTTCTTACAGTTTCAGGTCGTGTTCCTCTCAGTCTTGGGATCAAGTCCCCAGAGAAGAACTCAGAGAGGTTGCGTGTAAAGAATAATCCCACCTATGGCCTTCTAAAACTGCTGCTTTCTATTTGGAAAGAGGACTTTGGGATGCCTGTTCCTGTGCAGCTGATGTTCAGCAAGAAGAACATTGGTTATCTTCCAGAAGTTAAGCAGCGAGAGGTAAAGCTTGTTCCAATCTACGGAGCTGCCCGTTATCTGCTCTGGTCCGATATATTTGTGTAAGAGTTCTGCCTGCCCGCAGTGTTCACTGATTGCTCGTGCAAACGAGGGCAGCAGGGTTTGGGCTGCTGTTAGCTGGCGTTGTTTCTGCAGGGGCAGAGAAGAAGAGGACTGCGTACCACTTGTCACTGTTTGATACCTGCCGGGGGGGGCTGTCAGGAAGGCACAGTTCAATTTAGGAACAAAGGGCAAAATGGCCCGTTTGGCCTGGGAGACTGAATGCATGTGACTTTGTAATTAGTTGCATTTGTGTGCCTTTTATCAGCTTTCATTTTTGCATGTGTATCGGTGTTGTAAGATCCCCAGCTATGAAGCTGAAAGTCGCCCTATTTAGTTGCAGGCTAAAACCAGCTTATTTCGGAAGGTAAGGCAAGAATTTTTCAAGCTATTCTTGAACACCTGGGAATTAAATACTTGGTGTGTTTGGAAACTGAGAATTAGAAATTTTAAGACACTATGGTTGGATACAATGTATGAACTAAAGGAGTTTTGTTCACTCGTTTTGGATATTGCTCTTTGGTGTCCTTCATTGCCACACCCAGATAAATAATGTGCTTTCTCCTTTTGTTCCTTTTCTCTGCATTCTGATCCAAGAAGAAAACCATGAATTGTATAGGGATAAAGAAACAAACACAAAATCCATTTGGTTTAGAGTTGTTGATTTTATTATATTATTTTTTTTTCCTCTCCTGCAGTGGGATTTGTTCCTTTTCATGCTTCATGGTCTTGTAGAACATGAACTAATGAGAACTAGTGAAATAGAGAGTTGCTTGCATAGCCTGGAAGAGCTCCCTTGGCCCTCAGTAAGTAATCAGTTGTGTGTGAACACTAAGTGAAATAAAAAGTAAAGCTACATCAACAGTCAATCCTTGTAGTTTTGTTTGGCGTAGGTGAAGCCCATAACTTTCCCTATCAATAGTTCCTGCTTAATGCAGCAGAAGGACTGGCTTCCAACAAGCCTTGTTCCTGTTCCTAGTGTTTTTGGCCGAAATCTGTACTTGTGTGAATCCCAGCATTGCCCGTGCAGTGGAAACATTTCCAAGAAAATTGTAAAGCCGTTTGGAGCCCAGCTGCCTCGGTTACAGTCAGGCTAGAACTGTGAGCTGGTGGAAACATTTCCAAGAAAATTGTAAAGCTGTTTGGAGCCCAACTGGCTCGGTTACCAGCTCACAGTTCTAGCCTGACTGTGTTTGCTGTGCTGCAGCTGAGAACGACATGTTGGAAAGGGTCTTAACTGACCAGACTTGCGTTTAAACCTCTTTGTGTCCTACCACTGGCATGTGAGAGGAGTCAGACTGTTCTAGCCAGAGTTAAAATGTGGGAGACCGCCCAACTCCCTTGCTAAAAATGGACAGTATTTCAAGGCTGCTGAGCGCTTGCCTATTTGAGATGTTTAACCATTTAAACTGTGGCAGTGATCTTTTCTGAGAAGGGTGTGGGGATTAGAGGGGCGACTGAATATGTAGACCTACAGGCATACATCTTTGCAGTCAATTTTGTGGCTTGTCGAGGTTTCTGCAGTGGAAAACCGACAACAACATGCTTAACCTTGTAAAGTTCTTTACTAGCAAAATTAAAGAAAAATTAAGCCTTGTTGTTGACATTTGTTAATAAGGGCGTTCTGGTTTGTATGTTTGTTACAGGATTTCTTAAAAGAACTGGAAATGCTGTCCAGAGTATTCCTATCAGAACGTCATATAGATGAGCCCAGGACTAACCCTTGTGAGCTGAGCAGACAATCTCTAGGTACCGTGAGAGCACAAAGTTAGCGGAGGTGGACTCCCTGTGGACAAAAATGACTACGAAAGATGGAAATGGAAGTTTTAGTGTTTCTGAATGCACTGTGATCTCTTTGCTGGGAGCACACTGCAGATCAGAGGTCGCTTTGTGCACCTGCACTGGGCTTTCTGTTCGTGGACGTTTTGCCGTGGTGACTATGCTGAAGGGTTTACATCAGCAAACGGATCTCCAAGTCAAAAGTCCTTTAAGCACCTTGAATCTGGCTCAGAGCAGCTGTGGGGTTTTTTTTTTTTGTTAGGCTCATAGACACTTTTTGTATTTGCGCAGCAGCGGGCTCTGACCAAACCCAGGAATCGATTCGAGTGGAGAAGTTACTTTGTGATCAGAGCGGTGGTTTCCTGGTGGCTGTCTCCTCTTAATGTAATTTCTCATGCTGTCTTTTAACAAAGACTGTACTGTCAGGGGAGGGAAGAGGTGAACCTGTATGACATGGAGATAAGCCTATATTTATTTTTCATTGTAAGCTCGATTTTGAAGGTTTGATTTTAATTTTTTTAAGACTCATTTTAAAAGTTAAACTGTATTAAATATATACACCAGAACATTGATGGTATTATTCTTAAGCATCTACATCCTTTAAGTGTTTTTCCATCTCTTGTTGGAAACAGAACTTGTAATTTCCCAGGGTTTTTAATAGAAATAAGGGAGAAAATATCTGTTTATATTTTTTACTGAAGACAGTATTTTTAAGATGCTTTTATAGTATGTGAAGGTAAATGGCATCTGGCTGCTATTCACTGTTTTTTATAATGCTGCTTGCCTTGAGTTTGGGTTTTATCAGACAGGAAGTGCTGCAGCAAGAAAACTACAGCCTGGAAGAGCAGACAAAAAAAGAGGTGAAAAAGCACTGTGACATCCCCTGGAGAGCTGGTTTTGAAAGGAATCCTTTTCGTGGAGGACAGTGGTGTTCTCCGCCCTTGTGGATCGATCGTCACCAAGGGTGTGACCTCCCGGTCACCCTCCAAGTATTTCCTTACACTGGGGTTTGTGGTAGGGACGGCTGGTGGGTGGCAGAATATGGTTGGTGCTCATGAGCTGTCTCATGGGCTTCCCCCAACCCCCACAGCAGTGGGGAGATGATTTCTGTTTGTCTAGGAGGGTCCTGTTAGCGCAGGGTCTTTTCCAGAAAGCAAAGAACGTGTTCTGAAAGAACAACATCTGGACAAAGCAAAGCCCAGGGCTAATTAACTTACCTCTTCCTTGTAGAAGGTGAGAAAAGGTAACATCTTGGAGTCAGCGATTTAAGGAAAAAAACAACACAAACAAACCAATCTAATTAGGAAAGAACAACATCTGGACAAAGCAAAGCCCAGGGCTAATTAACGTACCTCTTCCTTGTAGAAGGTGAGAAAAGGTAACATCTTGGAGTCAGCGATTTAAGGAAAAAACAACACAAACAAACCGACCTAATTAGGTAGAACTGTGGCTTCTGTTAAAATGTATCTATCTCCTACAGAGAGAGGAACATCAGTGTCTGAAGCGTACTGAGGTGTTTCTTTGGTTACAAAGCATGGCATTGAAAGATTTGGCATGTTCCATCTGTGTGCCTCAATTTAGGGGTTTCGTGATGTCCTTGAAGCAGAGCGTCCCTAGAAGTAGGGATGCTGTGTATGCAGCAAGGATAAGGTAACAGGAATTGAAATAGCAAGTACACCATACCTTACTGTACCTGCTCCCTGAGGCTGAGGGACATGCGACATTTTGCTGCAGATCTCATTTGAAGCTGTTGTTTGTCATAATAAATGTGATTAAATGTCCTGTTTTGTGTTCAAGCTGTCGATACGTAACCTCTTTGTACTGGGGCAAAGTACAAAAAAGGTCCCTTGCCACGAGGCAAAGTATAGCGCACTCTCCTGTCCAGCCTGCTGCTGCTCTGCTTATACTGGAATAGAACTTTATTTTGTTATATAGGGAGGGTGGAGGGGGGGGGAAGAAGCTGGAACCTGTAACAGTTAAAAAAAAAAAAAAAAAAAATGCTCTGGGCTCTGGAACTGACTGTACTTGGGTATTCTAAAACCATTTGCATAGATACTGTGGCCACAGCTTTCTTCATGAAATCAACATACCTGAATTTTCCTTCTCTAATACAACATGCTTGGAAATCTTTATTTAAAAGGTGACCAGGCCCCAGGAGCAGTTTACTACTTCCAGAGAGCAGAGCTATGCCCTGTGGGGCGGAAGGCAGGCAGTTCTTCACTGGGAACCAGCAGGTAAGAAACGCCTCTGTTTTTCCACGTTCTTATGTCTTAATGCAGTTAGGTCTAGTTCCTGGGCATCCCATGGTACTCAGCCTTGGTTGCTCTGTAAAGCCAGACACCTGACTTTGTAACTACACCTTAGGAACAGTCGTACAGCACGCCATTTTCTGTCTAGGGATACGCCGCACAGCGGGACCGCTCTCGTGAGGATGCGTGACTCTGGTGTCCCACGGGGCTGGGAGCCTCCTCTCTGTACCAGCGTTTCCAGCACTCTGCCTGTTCCCTGAGCGCCGCAAGGAGGAGAGCAGTAGGGAGAGGAGAGCTCACAGCAAGCTAGGTCAGAGCGCGTGGCCTTCCTCCTGTCAGCCTTTCCTACTGCAAACTCCTAACTCTCAAAAGAAAATGAGGAAAAATGGCATTATATTAACGTCCTTCTGGGTGTGCAGGTCAGAGGAGTTGTGTAACTGGACTCTGGAAGAAGTTTCAGCAAGTGCCTCCTTTCAAAACCAAACCAAACCCCGTTTGCTTGCACAAGGCACTGTGTCACAGAAACCACATTTAAGCAGTGAGTGGCTTCTTGACTCTTGTACCACAAATTCATGTTCCACGCACGTTCCTCAGCAGGAGCCCTACACCTTTTATCACAAGCTAGCCTTTCCATTAGTTCTCCATCTGCCGTAGTTCCACAGATGGGTATCTTAGCTGGAGCAAAATAACATGGGGCACGGGTTTTTGTGTAGAAAATACCATTTATTGTGGATATGAAAATAGCAATCTTGATTAAGAGCAGAGATGCAACAGTAGGTGGTACAATACAATTGGTTTGATCATCTACTGCTCAGCAGTAACTTACAGGAAGTTGGGTTTTGTCCATTGTAGATTAACAAATTAAGGTATCTGCTGGGTTTTTATTTCTTCCTTCCAAACAAACCAATGCCGTACGTTAACAGGTACCATAAAATGTTACATTTGCAAAAGAAAACATCCATATAAATAGGCTTTTTAGTATCAATTGAAGATTGTATTAAAAAAAAAAGGTACATTAATTCAATACCGATAAAAATAAAACTTAGCTTTGATAGCATATAAAAACGCTTCAAAACAAGCATATATAAATAACTTAATCTGTAAACATAGAAAAAAATCTTATGTATATATAAAAATAAACATCTGATGCACTGTACAATAAGACATTACCCTTCATAGGCACTGGCATCGTTGATCAACAGGAGTCCCCCTAGATGTTTTTCCTACAAAAACTGCTTTATCACTAGTGCCATGTCCAAAATAAAAAGGGAAAAAAGTGAAGCACCGAGCAAATCTTTAGTGGATTGTACAGAGACCTCCTCCGGAAATCTGTGGAAGCAGCACTGGGGACAAAGCCAATACACCGTGCTGCCCTTTCTGCTCTTTTTTTTTTTTTTCTGGGGCTTTCATGTACTGCCTTGTTTGCTCTCCCTTTCTTGGTTTCCGCCAAAAGCGGGGGGACTGTATGACAGGTTGCGAATCTGGAAATCTCTCTCTCCGCTCAGTTGCAGCAAAATTTGTGACGGGTCGCCCCTTTGTCTGTGCGGGGCTATGGAAGATGGATGACCCTTGAAGTGACCCAAGCCATGACTCAGTTTGGCAGGCTTTTAAGAAAAGGCTGAGCCTCCCCAAAAGAGAATAGTAAATATATTGGTGTTAAGATCGTAACCATGATCATCTAAAGGTAAACCAAAGCAAATTTGTAAGTGAAAGGTTTTTTGTTATCCTACCTGCTATAGTTTTGGGGGGGAAAAAGCCTTGGGCTGGTATGTCTCAAAACTGCTATTTTCTTAAATATCAATTTAAAATACCTATTATCTTTTCTTTTAAAACTTAATATATTAATAACAGGAAGTAACATAGAAGCTCAGAGCCAAAATTACACCTGTGCAAAGATATAGTAAAAGTAGATCTTGGCTCGTGAACTCAAAGGTGGGAAGTGCAGCTAACTAACTTCACTGTATGCTGGGAAAATGCATCTGTTACGGAAAGTAACTGTGTTAAAGGAGCAGAAGCTGACTCTGGTAAGGTGGATGCTTGAGTACGTATCTCTCAGTTGACAAATTTAAAGTGCAACAGCTTCTTGAACAATGTCGGCTTTTTTGGAGCTAAAGAAAGCAAAGCATAGCAGCTTTTATTGCTTGGATGAGATACCTAAAGTGATTCTTTGTTGTTGTGCTGGAGAACTAAATGAAGTTAGTTGTTCAGGTGTTTGAGTTGGTTGTGGTTTTGTTTAATTTTAGTAATACCAAACTAGGGAGTGTGTTGAAGAAACACGTTAAAGCCCGACAGCAGGATCGGCGGACTAAGTTCAACAGAAATCCCCATGAGGTAACGGAATGGGAAGAGTCTGTATTGACCGCAGTGAGACAGCTGGTCACGTTATGAGCCAAGAAGTGCGCTAAGACTATGACCAGGCTGGGTTTGCAACTCTTAACGCATTTGGGTGAAAGTGTAGAAGGGCTGATGGAAAAAGCCATTGTGGAAAAATGCTGGAGCTTCTCTTATTTGCAGGATTTAAATTCTAGAAACAAGCTGATTACTCAGTAGTACTCTCTATTAACAGCGAAGTGTCACTGTTTAAAACTGTCGATTTGGTTTCTTTATTTCAAAGCACCTACTTCTGCAGTGCAGTAAAACTGTGTCCTGAGGTGTGGTGGTTTCCACGGATGCTGCATAGTGTAGTGGCAATCTGAAATACCGCACACGGGCTGCGAGCAGTCAGCCAAGTACACGAGAAAAACCTGTCCAGGGTGTGGGATGACTAGTGGACATTGTGCTGTTTTCACTTCCCTTCTCAAGGGGAAGTACAGCCAGCTAGCCAAGGTACGTAAGTTTATCTACACTGTCAGGAATTCTGCCTTTGATACTTATCTCAACATTGGAAAGTGGTTTTGCAGCTCAACTCGAGAGCTTGTAAAAGGTCTCAAGCCACACCTGTACTGGTTCCAGGTTGTAGCGCATTTTGTTGCTTCCATTGTCTTTTTCTCACTGCTGGCTAAACTTTCTTAAAGAAAGAAGGTTGACCTTTGAAGCTACTTGGAAACAGAAATTAAATAGTACACTTCTGCATGTAAGATGCTGGCTACTGTAAAGCAAAGTCTCTTCCTCTGCTCTTTATGGAGACAGCATAC